AATGTAAATGAAAAAGTTTTCCTACCCAGAAAGAAAGAAGATAAAATTAGGCAATGTTTCTTCTCTCCCTGAAGATGCTGTGTTTGTTAGTCGTTTGACACTGGAAATCAGTGCCGATATTTCCTAAATGTGATCCACTTGCTAATGAAGAAAACCTCTACAATATAAAACAGTAGTTACTAGGTGTCATAGAAATGTGGCAGATTTTTAGAGCTACCTGACTTCATTCCCTTGAAGCACATCAGCTTATATGTAGAATCATTGAGTCCCAGAGTGACTGACTGAGAGTTTGGGGGTCTGTGTTTGACATTCACCACGTGCTTGGTGTAACAGTACAAGTGTGCTTTCTGAAATAGAAACATATCAGAATGTTCTCTTACAGTACACTCCTAGAAAAATGGTCTGATTTTTCCATTAGAAAATACGTAACCATAGTCTCCTTGGACCAACGCCAGCGCTACAAGGATGACTTCAATGCAGAGTATGAGGAATACCAAAATTTATATACTCGGATTGACAAGATCAGAGAGCACTTCACACAGCTTCAGGAACAATGGAAGTCTGTGACCGCAGGCTCTGAAGCCCATCAGGTAGAGAAGGATAAAGCCATAAAGACTGTGCTTCATCAGAGCAGTCCTTTGGATTCCCTGGAGCTGCTCAGTGAGATGCAGGGAAACTGAGGAATTGGCATATATGCTCAGACACTGCTTGGGCTGGGTCAGATTTTTCACAAGACCCTGCCCATAAAACCCTGTTTGAGCTGTCTGAGAACAATCCGTAGGGTGAGAGGTGTCCCAAGCAGAGTCTTAGAGCATGTGCTCCTTCTGGTGCCTGTTGAGAGGCTTAATTGCAGATCTTGGGTGATACTGGGAGTTGGGGATTTGTTGTTGCAAACCTCCCAGAAGAGTGGTGGCTCACAGAGAAGAAAATCTCGGGAGTCAAATGGAGTGCATTTGTAGTGCTTTAGTAAAGTTTGCATTTTATGGTGGTAGTGAAACATTCTTTGTGTGTTTTTTCTTGAAGATGCTGCTTCATCGAATCCTAGCAGATTATCAGCAGATACAACAGGTATGTTTGACACCAGATCTGCAGAGCGTGGTTACTGCTGAGTCTGGCTCAAGGCCTTTTTAAAGCAAAGCACATCTTGTAAACTCTGCAGAAGTCTTTGCCTGCCCTATTTTTTTTATTTTTTTATTTCTCCTTCATAGGGTAGCCCCAGCTACTTTGAAATGAAGAACAGGTGCCTGTACCTCCACAACAAGCTGTCACATATTCAGAGCCTCATATCTGAATTTGACAAGCATTAAGTGGAGTCCTGGCACCAGGCAACTGCTTCAGCCAGAAATATCTATGAACTCTGGATTTTTTATTACAACTAGAAGATTAGGTTTTTAGGATTATTTTCATTAGTATTGAACAGTAGGTAGCATTGAGCAATAGATGACTTTCTAAAAATGTAGAATTAGTTCAAAGAAGTTGAGTAAGTTAATGGATTTCAAAGATGATATTATTGAACTTTAAGAATAAAGAAATTTCCCTTGTGACAACTCCTTCTCTCATTGTTGCTTGTATCATATTGGAGAGGCATTTTTCTTCTGGCCAATTATTTTCTTCAAGACGTATGTTTGTCTAGTGAAATAAATTTATCAGGAAAAGGTTGAAGCCCAGTACCTCTACTATGAGGTTGCCCACATTTTAAGAAAATATTAGAGGAAAAGGAAATTCTTTATGATACATATAGGGGTGTTTTCCAACCCTTCTCCTTAATGCACACTCTTTGCCTTAAGTGGTCCAAAGAGCAGGAGTCTGGACAACCCCCTCCCCCAGTCAGCTTGTTTGGGAGGGTTACAGAGGAATGTGTTATGGGCTGCTCTAAGCTGTCAGCTGAAGCAGCTGCCAGGACTGCCTGGAGATCATGGCCTCATCTTGTCAGTGAGCCAAGGAATATCCAGATCTTTTGCAAGTGTTCTATAAAACACATGGAGAAGTGTTGGAGGCAAGGCTCATCAACAGATTTTAAAGTGGCTTGAAATGTCTTTATGGAGACTCTGTCTGTTTTATAGTTTTTTCCAAAATAATCTGTCACAACCAGTCTTTCTAGAGAGACACAGATATTGATTCCTGCACAGACCTAAAGGGATTTTGAAGTCTAGTCTTTTACCTAAGTCTCGTGCCATTAATTTCTTCAGCTGACAGGGTAGAGGTGTGTCCAGCAATGCCATAACCTTCTTCTGGGGAAGGATATGAAATTGACTGAGGAAGGACAATATCTGGCAACAATTCAAAGGGGCCCTTTCTTTCTTGGAGACTGTTTTACCAATTCCTCAATTGTCTGCATGCCTACAATGTTTAGCCCCCTGTATGTGAGACATCTTGGGGTGTTTTGTGATTGAACACCTGATCCATTGTTGCCCTTCTGTTCTTTTTCAAGTGAAATTCAAGAACATGTCACCTCTATAAATCCTGACGTCTCACTATATTGGGGACAGTGAGGTAGTAACGACATGGTGTCTCTTGTGATTTGAACAGGAGAGCAAGGTTTATTACTGCAGATCTTGTTTTATAGACAAGTATGCAAAGGTCCAGAAAAGTAAAATTCTTATTGGTCAGTAAACTAAGACATTACCATCATTGGTCAGTGGTCTACACCACCCCTTGACCTTCTCTTGCAATAAAACAAGACACTGAAAACACCTGCAAGGCTGTCTTCTATTTCTAATGATTATTTGGATTCCTCCTTATGATTTCCCAGGCTACTTTCTCATTCAAGTCTGAGAAAGTTATGTGACTTGCTTTTCCACAGACACTGGGTTCCCTGCTTGCCGCTTGCATTTAGCATCCACAGCCTGAGACTTGGGTCTTGCTTTGTCTGGGCCAGGGGCTGCTCCTACAGCTCGTCAGTGCAGCAGCACAAGGAACGGTGACTTGGGGAGCATGGGGTGAATTCTGCTGGGGTGCCTTCCCTTGGGCACTTGGGGACTGCTGCTGGTGGACGGAGCATGCAAGAGTGCTGCTGTTGAGAGTGTGGGCTGAGACGAGGTTTTAGAGGCACATCCTTATTCTGGGTCACATTTCACTCTTGCTGTCAATTGCCTTTAGGATGTGTAATGTCCACATACTCCTTAGACCTGTGTGTTTCTGGCTGTCATTTCTGTCCACATCCCTATAAAACCAAAGGAGAAATAAAAAAACACTCTATGCCAAACAGAAAGAAAATAAAAACTCAACAGCCTTATATGGAAAAAGAGCTTCTGAATATTACAATTAGAAAGACACTAATTCAGTAAATTACAGTTGCTTTATATACCTGTTAAAAATGATTGTATGAGCTTGGGAGGTTTGGTGTAGCTTGGATTTAAGTCTGCAAGTTCATAGCTGGGGAACAAAGCAGGAATATCCCTGAAGAGCAGAAGGCTGCTGGAAACTGCTGGGAGTGGGGCAGGGCACAGTGTCCTTGGCAGAGGAATGTGATGGGGGGTTGGCACCCTGCTGGCTTTCCCAGAAGCCTGTCACTACTCCTCTGTCCCATGCCTGCTCACAGTGGGGAGAAGCCCTGGTGCAAACCAGATCTGAGCATCCCAGCTTGCAGTGCTTGTGAAGCTGCACCTGTGCATGGGGTGGTCCCCACCTGCTGCAGGTGAGAAGATTTTG